CAAATTAAAAATTTTATCGTGGATAAATTCCATAGGTAGCAAAGATGAAAAGAATACCCTTGTGAAAACAACACGAAGGTGCCAGAGGTTTGAGAAAATTCCTCGTAAACGAGGCCTGGTGGTGAATTTTCGCGCGTGACGTAATCACGGATACATTATATAATTTCAGAATAAAAGCATTTTTTAAAGATAAATATGGAATTTATAGTTAAATATATTTATGTTATCGCACTGACTGAATTCTATAAATATTAATCCGAAAATGCATTCCTTGTTAAGTTAGCGGTAGCTCCGTTTGATAAGCCGAAATAAAATCACCCAATAAACCTCTTGTTTAGATAAATACTTAGCTATGAGCGAAGAACCCATAGTCATTTTAATGAACGAAGAAGTTATGCTAAAAGGAATAAATGTGCTCGCTCGCGCACGAAAGTGAAAGCATTAACAACTACCTTACTACGAAATGCACAATCGCATCCAAACTAATTAAACCTAAGGCTCGATTACCAGCCGCTGTTCGAGAAAGGAGCCCGCGCTACTCGAACGAGAAGTGGAAATCGAGCTTATCTTTAAAAACCTCAAAGGCTAAGAAATGATGTTAAGAGATTAAACAGAGAGCAAATTAATCACTCCCCGGAGAAAGAAAGTATGAAAAGCCTTAGGAAATCCTACCAGCCCAATATTCGAGGATAGATCAGTGAAACCACATGTTTAGAAATCCTAGAAGGGAGGAGAAGGGTTAATCATTGCTGTAATTAGGTATTGCCCCTTGTTTATTGCACTTTCACACTTGCTCCAAAATATTTTTAACAGTGACGGGTAAAAAAAGAACTTATTACCAAGTCAACAATTCCTATTTTACAGCTGTGAGGCAAAAATGACTCAGGCTCATACCCTTAAATTTTGCAATTTTTTTTTTTTTTTTTTTTAACAAGCTCACTTTTTTAGTAATTGAGTGGTCTGTCCACAGACGGTTATTATTTTTTGCCTACGAGTTATTTTCTTCAAGCGCAAAGGGCCACCCCCCTCCCCCTGCGTCCGGGCTTTTTCAAATCCCCTTAGTTTAATACTCTTGCTTTCGATCTCTACGAACTCAAGATAAAATAGAGGCTCTACAGGTGGATAGGCTGGTAATTTAGTCTGTTGACTCATCACAATGACTTTAATAAAAGCTCATGAATTACAGTAGATGTGATGACATGCAGTAATCTCAGATCGAATAGACCACTTTCAATATATCAAAATTTAGCGTGGCAGCGAGGCCTAGAGGGCACAAACAAAGGAAATTGAATGACATGTTTATTCATTTCTTTTGTTTGTGTTCTCTAGGCCTCACTATCAAGCTGAATTTAAATATATCGAAAGTGGCCTATTACAGCATTTGTTTGCAGCTTTCCGCATATAATGATCTCGGCAGTTTATACGTTACATGTGAGATACTGCCTCTACTAGCAGACCAGTTACCTGGAGGTAACATCTTCGCCCTCGCGAATTGTAAATGTGGGACGAAAAATAACCACGATAGAGAGAAAGAGAAGTCAAACCCAAAAACACATGTTATGTTCAACATAAAAACTTTGGACTTACTAAGCGTCTACATTCCTACCAATTCTTTCTCACTCATTAAGCATAGCCACCATATCCGATTCACTCGTCTTCAGGCTTATCGGTTCTTGCCAGCGTTTCTATGATTTTTGACTCACAGTCACTTATTATGTCTTATTCAGTTATCCTCAGCTTGTAAAACTTTAATAAGCTCCTCGGTTCTTGTCAGCAAGTCTTTGACTTGTTTGTCATTGTTATTTATTCTGTCCCATTCATTACTCATAGCCACGCCTTGCACAGGCTCAACTGTAACTTCCCTCTTTACGTCGTCAAGCAAATGAGAAATCTCTTTGATCAACAGCAGCCGAGCTTTCCTCTCCTCAGTTGACGCGACAGATGTTGATTTCGTTGCCAAAATGGTATCTTCCCAGCCGTCCAACACAAAGGCCAAACGCATAACAGAGCAAAAACCCGGCGTGAGCTAAGAAGTAAATAAAAAGAAAACAGATGTTCCCTAAAAATTCCTACAACCCAAGTTCGAAGACCTTATTAAATTACGTATATTCATTTAGAGAGGAAACCACATCAGCCCCAACTGGATTTCATGCGAGTCCTCTATCCTGGTCGAATTTGGTTTTTGTGGAGCAAAATCCGGAGAAAAACCCACGGAGCAAGGCGAAAACCAACAACAAACTCAACCCACATATGGCCCCAGGCTGGAATCGAACCCGGGCCACATTGTGGGAGGCGAGCGCTCTCATCATTTTCCCATCCCTACTCCATCCCTCTAACCAATTGACATAGCGGAACCTCCAATAGAGGGGCGTAGTGGAGTCTATATCAACGGGTACCTCTCATAACCGACCACAACCTGACCCTCATTCACGGTCCATAAGAGAACAACTGGAGCTTGTACTATTGTCAGGTTTTTCTGTAATTATTATCAGAAGCGTATATAACTGAATCTCACAATTATAGAGTGAGAAAAAAAACGAACAAAACACGTAAAAGAGACAAGAAGTCAGCAAGTGTGAATAAGTTATTAAGTATAATATCCTGATTACTTACTAATTGTAAAACATCCTTGAACACCAAGTGCCCACCAAGGGCATTACACAGGAACACCAGCAACAGTCTTCCCAGTAAAATGGCTGCCTCCGGGTCTCGTAACACAGGGCTTGTAAACAAAATGTACTGAACGTCAGCAAATTGAAGCCTGGTCTTTGACTTGAGAAGACGTAAAGGATGAAGAATTTCTTTCAGGGCTGCCTGTAAAACATTACACAAGATTTGACGAGCTGAATATGTTGCGTTTCATCTGAGCACTATGCATCCTCGTTTCTTAGCCTAGAAAATACTCTTCATTGAAATCAAATTGTATCTGTTAATTCATGAAAAGTGAAAAGATAAAGTCTGCGTTCAAGCCCACTGACCCATCAGGCCGGCGCTTATCTCCGGCTTCTATAGCACGAAGCGACTAGTAGTATTTCTACTCCCCCCTGGATGGGATGCTAGTCCATCACAGGGTTACCCCTACAGCCGTAACCCATTAAAACACCGGGGTGGAGAAAAGCACTGTGAGAGTAAAGTGCCTTGCAGAAGAACAAAACAAAATGTCCCCAGCTAGGGCTTGAACATCTGTCGAGACATCTGTAACATAATGGTAACTGTATTTCTCCGCTACTGTCCTACATGATTTTATACATATTACTCATAAAGGAAATAAAGCAAACTTGTAGCCATCAACACAGCAAGGAAGTTCATTTAGCACGTCCATATTTTGGTGTCGCGTTGGCGAAGGAATTAGCCAGTTTCCTCTGTATTTAACAATCGAACCTTACTGAACCAGCTAGTGCCCAGTTCCCCTGGAGTTTTTATTTACAAATGTCTTACCTTTAAAGGGACATGTTTGTCTGATAATGGAGGAACATGAAACCAACACAACATATTGATACATCCATCCAGTACCTACCCCAAAAAATCAAGAGTGTATCATTATCTTTCTCTTATTTAACAAATAAACAAGCTAAAGTCAATACCAGTTACGCAACGCTTTCGAGTGGTATACCAACAAAAAGGCTCGTGTACATACCGAAAAAATACAAGTGACTCGTGGGATATTCGATGGTATAGGGGAATCCTCGTTTACAATATTTGCCTCACTAGCACAAGCAATTCAGTTTCTGATGGAGCCACAAATAAATCAGTCTTGAATATTGAAAGGTCATAGTACGATTAACTCTGCCAAAGAATATGAGCTTGATGCATTGAATACTTTTTGTGCAACACGGGTTTAAAAATTCAGAATTTTACAAAGAACGTATGAGCTCATTAGCGCTATTTTGCAGTTTTTGAAAGTCAATATCTCCTTGAATATTACACCCAAAGAACTAGAAATTTCGCCGTGTATTAAGTTTCACTAGCTCTTTAGCTGCTTGGAGTCAATTCATATCTAACATGTTTCCTTCTGTACGCAAAGTCGTATGCAAATGAGCAAAAATATAAACAATGACGTCAGCATGAATCCCCCTATACCACGAGAGCATTGCACAACTATTCTATACCATGCCATTGAACATACAGCGACTAACACCATTAATGCTACATACGCGCGGTGCACGACGGGAAGGTTGTGTGTTATACTGTCTAATATAAAACGGCCTTCCTGTATTCTGATTGGCTGTATTTTCTATGGCATGGTTTGAAGTATTATATACATTCGTAAAACGGCGGAAATTTGAGAACACGTGTGAAAGTTTCAACAATGCACAAGCCGTCGGCGAGTGTTTTTTATATTATCTTTATGTCTGTGTTTGAATGTTTTACCTCTTCTCTGCAGCTTAAAAGCGACAATCTAAGAACTTTACATTCCCACGAGGGAAAACACCAAAGCGTCTTCCATAAGGCGAACAGTTCACTGCAAAAAAAAANAAAGTGGTATAAATATGGAAATAATACAACATAAAATGGCCTGTTAAAATAACAAATCGTCTTTGAATCAGTGACATTTTTACTGGCTAAAACAACCGAAATCTTAAAATATTCACTAAATGAGATAGAGAAAACTTTATCCAGTTAGTGATAAACAAAGGATCAAAAATAGAGTGGTGTAGATTGGGAAGACTGAGAGGGAATATCGACCACGAACTAAGAAGACCTTCTGTTGAGTAGTTATTTGAAAATCAGCGGTGCATTCAAAATGAATATTTAAAAGTAACGAAAAAATGCCACACACCTTTTCGATAATTTACTTGTTAGCTGTTCCAGTTCCATATGAATAATTTGCAAATTGCGAAGAATGGAATCTTTATCTGGAAAATATAAAGCACAGAATAAAGATTAGTTCCGGTTTACTCTTTCCGCCATTTTGAACAAGAAAAATAATCATGACGTAAAATACAGTGTTGTATCCATTGTGAAATAATTCAGACATGGTCATACCAATCTTAACGAGCCCTGTGTCCCGCAACAGCTGGAAACCGTTAAAACTCCGTCTTCTGTAGTACCAGGCGACTGAGAGTTAGCTACTCCCTTCGGAAGGCTAGTCCATACCAGGTTCCCCTATCCCCTCCTCCTCCGTAGTATTTTGTCAGGGTAGCCTGATGGTTCGCTGCTATACATCCATACCCCAAGGCGGGGGAGGAAACGGGGGAGGGCTGTCTCGGCCAAGAACACAATACAGACCTCCAGGTTGAAGTACGAGTACGGGATCTAGTACGGGTACGATCTTTGAATTTCACACCAGTGGCGTTACCAGAGTCCTTACTCACCCCCCCCGGTCCCCCCTGTTGCTGATCAGTTGAATATGAGACTATAAGCACGAGATTAATGTAAATTCTGATAACCGAAAGCATAAGCACCAGGTGTGAAAAGTCTTTCTCGTACGAATCTCTTTCTTGTACTCCTTTCTGAAAGTCCCTGATCTCTCTTTCTGAGTAAACTGGGCCAGGACTCAAAACCCTGACAACCGCATGCGCAAAGGAAACTAAAAACGCTACTTCACACCAAAAAAGTTAATTTTTCTTGAAATACATACACTGCTATAATTTCTGATATGCTTAGTCACAGATGGACTTACCTGGTGGATTTATCGTCATTTTTCGAACAAGCGCAACACAATAGTCGGGAAACAAATCAGAAAATGTGGAAAGAACCTAGAAAAAAAGAACACCAAGTAAAGGTAAAAAACTAAGGTATAATTTTCTCTAAATTAGCTAACTGTAGAGTTTTTTGGATTACCCTACCCCCAGTCAGTCAGTCGAACCACATCTTGACGTTCAATGAGATAAAAAAAAAAGAGAATCTAAGAAACTAAAATTAATTCGTTATAAGGAGTGTATCGATTGGTACAGTTTTTGTTCCAACAGAATGGAACTTTTCTCATGATGCGCCTGTTAGCTTGCGTTACCATTGCATTTCCTGCTGGCGTGACAGGATTTCCACTGAACCTTAAGGTTTTGTAGGACTGGGTTTCTTGGACCGCTACATATTAGCAGTAAAAACATGTGTGACATCAACACGACTAAGTGTTAGGCCTACACGTTTGTGTTAACTATAGGTGGTTCTTTTCCCGTCACGCAGCTACCTCACGCACCTGTGGACTTCCTTCTTTACATTCCTGGACGCATAATTCACCAAAGACTGACATGAGCTTTGCGACTTGCGTATTCCCATCAGATTGGGTCAGAAATAAACTGGATAATGAAACAGTAAAACTTAATGTAAAAAAACTGCACTTCGTTTTTGTTGATCAACCCATCACAAAATCAAACGTTAGTAAAGAAATAATGAACGATAGAAGAAAGGCGTCAACGAATGGGAAAAATGAATAAACCTTAGCACCGGGGGAGGGGAGGGGCCGTTCTTTTCTAAGGGAAGTCGCGTGGAGGGTTGCAAATTCCGGATTTTGGTTTCACTTATGCTGTTTAGAACAGAACGGTAATGTTTTTAAAAATTCAAACAGGATAAAAATTGAAAACTGATGAGATAGAAAAATGTCACAGTGTAGTCTTGTGAAAAATCACAACCGTTTCGGGCATAGCCCTTCTTCAGGATGAAAACCGTTTTAAAATGTTCGGATCACGCGGCTGTTCATTTGAAAGTAACGTAGGGAAGCTAAGCGCACGGAAACTGGACGCGCGCGCGCCGTTTATTTGAAATGGAAAACATCACTTAGGCCCTCGGGCTACATAGTGCTTAGCCTAAAAATGACTTCCAGTTCTAATTGTTTCCATCTGACATTAACGCCAGTGCACTTCCTTAAACCTCTCACAGCGATGTCAGATAGACTGTACCAGGGAGAGTTAAAGTGCTCTGCGCAAATGATAAACAACCTGAATCTTCTCACCTCAGAAGGCCAAACGCTACTGCAAAGAGCTCTGGGTTCTCCACGCAAGCACGAGGCTATAATTTAAAAGAAAAATATGATCAGCAAGACTTTTATCGTGGTCATTAGCTACATGTACAACGCACAATAAGAGGGAAAATGACTCTAAAAAATATCCAGGATTGTCAGACAGAACTGTGGTAAATAATCATATAATATATTTACCAATTCTTTTGAACAAACGACATCCTTCAGTTGCTTTCTGGAAAAGTACGGCCGCCTAAGGGTTGATATCTCCAGTAGATTTAAAACCTAAACAAACATCAGACACACCGTTTATAACTAATTCAATTAAATAACAATTTGTACAAGAAAAATCGCTTAAACCTACTGAAGGGACTTTCTTTTTGAAGCCATGCAAATACCTAGGAGGATACTCCTAGAAACACTGGGTGGGGTATGGGTGGAGTTCGTATAAGGAAGTTAGCACTGAGCCCATTCTTTGTAGGCAGTTACGTGGAAATCATGATCACGTTCTAATCCACATTAGTAGAATTCTACTAGTATACTAATGCAAATGCTGCAATCTGATTGGCTGAGCTACTCGCACACTATCAGCTATTATTATGCAACGGCTGTCGGTCGCCTACGAAATGGCTGTGTCAGTAAAATCCCGCGTATAAGAACGTAGCAGATGAAGAACCCACGCATCTATTTCTAGGAGAACAAATTCAGCCTGGAAAAGTTCTTATTTGGTAGGCAAGTAATAATTACATTGTATAGTACGAGAAATAAGACTGAAGGCTTGGCAGTGATACAGTTTAGGATACAGTTTTGTCACGCATGTACTACAACAAAGTTCTACTGACGTACAAATTTCCAGGTCTGGCTGAATAGGTTCTTATATATTTGACTGATTTGAAAACATTTTGCGTTCAAGGAGTTTAATACCCTGAAACACACTTATCCTAAACTGTATTCAGCCAAACCTGGAAATTTGTACGCGAGTGGAACTTTATTGTGGTGCGTACATGACAAAACTGCATTAGAATCAAAATGACCATTAATCACACTCCATGGACTTCCGGTGTAGAGCTGCTTAGGAGAAGATTACTGGGAACGAGTCGGGCTTGCATAAGGCAAAATCAGCCAACCATGAGTGAAGCCATTCTTCATTACGCATGTTAGCTAGTTTGTGAAAATCATTCTATTGATGACTAGACTACGAGTGGTGCCTCTTTCGCTTAGTCCGTCAACCGAGACCGTAAATAAACCGCGAGGAAAAAAAGGCCGCGTGAAATCCTGGGGGCGAGACGCGGGTTCTCGCAGCCATTTTTTTCTTGCGGTTTTCTTTCGCGTCGCGCACGACGGACTAAGCGAAAGAGGGACAACTCGTAGTCTAATTGATGACTTCCGTTCGTGTGTCAATAATGTTATAAAATAAATTATGGATAACTAAGTATTGGTGGTGGTCTTCAGATTTACAAGAACAGTGAATCAAACGTCCGTCTGGTATACATGTAACCGAATGTACTTCACTCTTTTCTTTATAAGAATTTATTTTATAACAATATCGAGGCTGAAATTTGCGAATTTTAAGCCGACCATTTAAAAAATAAACCCGATGCTGAGATTTTAAAAAGAATTTGATTTTTGAATGTTGAAAATTTGTAAATACAATGCAATTATATGTTCTTAACCAAACCGTGTACAATTTTTCCCTTCTCTAAATGGCAAAACTAGCCAAAAAACAACAAACTCAGCACTAGCTTTATGCTCGATGCTAATAACAGTTCTGCAAGAAATTTCGTGTCATACCAGGCTTTGTTGCCTGCAGTCTGGCTCCAAAATTACTTCAACGCCATCAAAGTCATGATAGGACAGATAATCTGACATTTTGTCGGCAAAGTCCACAGAGTGTTTTCCTTTAACTAATGTAACAGTATTCACATGTATATTTTCAGCCTAAAATCGACAGAAAAATAAGGATATTCAACCTGGGCCGGAAAGACGATATTCTTATAAAGAAAAAGAGTGTAATCGAGGATTTCATGGCCACGAAACAGCCAGATACAGTAAATCCCGATTTCTCGAACCTCTTGATTAGCCTCTCTAACCAAAATTAAATTTGTTTCCTTCTCCTCAGTCGAACACTGTAATTTTATCCCTGATTTCTCGAACTACCCGATTTTTTCAAACCAATTTCCGTTTCCTTTGGAGGTTGGAATAAGCGGGATTTTACTGCACTCATATCGTCAAACGATTTTTTAAAAGAAAATGCGACATTTTGGTGTAAGCCAACTTTATAATTAAAAAAACACATTTTATTTTCTCCTAAACCGCAATAAGTGAAGATGGACAGAGGTATCCGGTCAGTTTTACCTCAATACTATTAGCCCTTAGCCTGTTAGCCCTCATACAGAAGTCGATTAGCCCCCAAATAAGAGTTGCCTTTAAAACTAAATTATGCTTTCTGCATAGGTGCCCCAACGAACAGCCGAGCACACGAATTCAGAACATACCGCTCAGTCATGACCACAACAGAACCAAAATCAAGGTACTTGAAATTTACTAACACAAATTACCTTTCAATATTACGCCCTCGAAAATAGTGGCCATCATTGTCATATTGGCGAGAATAATTTACTGAATTTTATGTAAAAGACAAGTTTTATTTGACGAACAATCGAGTCGGGTTGGGGGCTAATGGTCTTTTCTTGAGGGCTAACTGGCTAATCGACTTGGGGGAGAAACGACCTACATTCTGTGGAGGAGTAGCTGTTTTAATGACCTGGAACAGAATCGTCTCTCTCTAGCTGTAATCTGCACTTGTAGTTTTCAATTTTTTGCTAGTGCAAAGTAAATCAAAGGGAATTTGGCAAATATGAAGTGGAGTTAAACTTCATGAGTTTCTTCAGTCGCAAATCGCAGCATTTGTAAACCATAGCTCGTGATGAACGCCCGACAAGAGTGGACGGTGATCCATTCCATGTTGTGTACACTGCAGCAATCTAAATAGCTCAACAGCTTCTTGACCCGCGGAAAAGATTGATGTAACATGAATCTAACTGCTCCCAGTTAAGTCTTATATCAAAAGTCACAATGTATTAAAAGAGCCCATGTTTATCTCCAAGATAGTTGGCTTCCCGATAAAATCAGGGTATACTGTTTTATAGCAAAGGAAGTAACACTTGAATGATAAAATATTATTCTTATTTATTGAATAGAAATAAACATTAATTAGACAATTGCTAAGTAAGGTTATAATAACAGTTGTATTTACTGGAGCCAAACTATTGTAATGTATATAATGTACTATAAAGCTAGCAAAATATAATACTTCTTGGCATGATCCTACGAGAATTTTTGGCTTTTGAAGCCTTCAGGAAATAAGACAGTATAATCACATGCGTTTGTAACTAAATTTGTGACAAGGCTTAAAATGTTTGATACTAGCAAAGACTAAAGTCTTTTAAACATTTTTAGCCTTGTTTGAAAACTTTGTTATAAATATGAAACGAATTTCATGGGCATCTACGTTTATGTTGTCTATATATGTAGGTAAATTTGATAGATTTTCTGTCTTGATATTCAGGTGCTCTTGAAATTTTTTGAGCATGTGTTTGAAGGGCCTTGAAAGAATTACTTCTGACGGGAGATTAGGAGCGCTTTGCAATTCTGCCAAGTACTTCGAACACTGAATCTTGTCAGTTATGTACGAATAAAAGGCTAAAACAGTACGCAACCGAGCAGAACACACGCCCCGCTCACACCCCTCTCCCTCCCGCTGAAGAAAGCAGAAATACAAGGGTTCCATTACACGTTAGTGCGTGAGTGCGGAATACAATTTTCCAGGAATTCAAAATACATATATTTTTCAAAAGCGATCATTTGTTGCTTGCTAATACATTCCTTGATGAATTCTGACGAAGATCAGGTAACAAACTGAGTTCTTTTTCCTCGTCACAAGAGTCCCCGTTCCAAATTTTGGCCGCGCGGAAACTGAAGCGGAACTTTATGAATTGCTTGACAAGGATTAAAAACCACAAAATAAGGGAAAATGAAAAACCGGTAAAATTTGAACCCAGTGTCTGGTTGCCGCTTTGGGTATAAGCTGTTCATTTTAAACAGTTGCACAATGTGAACGACTGAAGTGTGAGTCTAATATGAATATAAATGGTTGTTTCGAAACTGCAATTTAACTCACGCTCCTCCTCTCCGCTCTGGTGGTCACGCAATTTCCGTGTATTCGATTGCCCACGTCACCGGTCCAGGAGTGCCGCATTTCGAAATTCTGCCTGCCTTGTTGAAGGTAAAAGAAAGATGGATTCAGGCAGCTTTGAAAATATCAGGCGTGCCGTGGAAAAACGAAACCCCAAGAACAAGAAGTTAGACGCATTGAAGTTGACTCTCGCCTGTTCTTATGGAAATCTATCTGCCGAGCAAGTCGCTCAACTTCTTCCGGAGTTTTCCTTTGATGATGACAAAGAAAAAGTTGTCGAGGTTTGTGCTCCGCGGATGTACAGCATCACATGCGAGCAAGCGGCGACCATATTACGAGGTTTCTCGTTCGATAAATCGAAAATAAAAGCCTTGGAAGCTATTGTTTGCCATATCACTGACGATAACTTGGGCGCTTTGGATAGCGCGTTCCGTTTTGCGAGGGACAGGAATCGCGCCAAAGAAATACTGATGAATCGATCGCAACCAGGACCAAAGGTTTACCCTGGTGCTGGACCTCCGCCCGGGGGTTTCCCTGGGATGGTTCCCCAAGCCGAAGGCTACTTCTCACCAGCACCGTATCCAAGACCGTCACCTTACCCGGGACAAAGCCCTTATCCTGGAGCAGGACCATACGGGGGGATGTGTCCTCCAGGACAGCCCCCCTATGCACCAGCAGGCCAAGGGAAGGCCCCGCCACAGTATCCTACTGATACAATGCCACCTTCCACAAGTCAGTTTCCTGGTGGTGCTATGGGTGCAATGCAGGGGATGATGGATGCTACAGCTGGTGCAATGATGAAGGGAATGAGTGATATGTTTGGACCTGCCCCACATCAAGGCCAGCAATATCCACTACAAGGGGGAAGTTATCCACCCCCAGGAGGGTAACCCTAGCCGGGGTATCCATATCAACCCCTTACTACTTTTGATGAGGAATATTCTACAAATCGTTATTTGTAGTTTAGAGTTCATGAAGAATCACTACAGTTTACTATGAATCGTAACATGATTTGGAACTGACTAGGAGTAAATAGATAGATAGATAATCTTTATTTCAACACGGTTAAAAATTCGTCAGCTAAATAAAACTACTAATAGCCGAGTAATCCTATTAAGGGACTGCAGAGACCATTTTAAGTGGTGGGACTAAAAAATTTGGGCAAGCATTAGGGTTCTGCCATTTATCATGTATCTACATGTCATCATATTTACAACCTCGATATAACAAAAAACTGGGAGAGCTTAAGCCCTATGGTGATTTCCTAGCAAAATGGGACACTTAGAAAAAATGATAAGAATAAATAACATATAATTCTGCATAAACCATTATGTCAGAAGCAGGCAAAAAATGAAAAATAATGATTCCTGATCAGAGAATAAAAAATAGATTTTAAGTACTTGTTTGCATTTATGGTTGTGACATTCAAATCAAACAGTCAAGAGGCAAAAAGTGGGTCATGTTCACTTTCCCTGCTGTCTCAACTTTCCCTTGCCTCAACCCAGTACTCCTTTGAGGATAGACGACTCCATCAATTAATTCATATGAATAAACATAATTTGAGCATAGTAGTCTTTAGTTTATAATACAGCAGTTTATAAGCCATAATGGTGTTTGAGTTTCATGTGAATATATGGTGTCTTAAACCTGTGCCCAAGGGTAAATCATATTTTAGACTCACATGGTAATAGTTAGAGCCTTTTCAAACCAAGTTTCCGCAAAGAAAAGGCCACGGGAACGTACTGTTAGGTTGGGCCTTAGCTTTTCACTAGCAGCCCTTTTCTTTTGGAACCAACTTGCCAGATGAACTTTCATTAAAAACCTGGCTCTCTAAATGCTTTTTAATTAAGCTATTTAAACATGCTTTTAATCTAGTATAAGTTTTATTTTGATTTATACGTCTAGCTACATTAATCTATGAGAGACAGGTTATACTAGTTTAGAAAATTATCAGTATTTTTGTATAGACAGAGTTTTTGTAAAACACGGTTTGATCACTTTATTAAATGAATTTTTTGCTCTATAAATTTATATTGTTAACTTCTTATTACACAGCCATTTAAATTTTCGAATACACCGAATGCAAATATGGCGGATCACTCGGACGGCCCGGGACTAGTAGCGTGGAAGCGAGGCTAGNGCAAAACGAAGGCATCGCGAAATGAATCCACAACACGCGTAGTCAAAAGACTAGCCTCGCTTCCACGCTACTAGTCCCGGGCCGTCCGAGTGATCCGCCATATTTGCATTCGGTGTATAGCATAGTTTCTGGCATGTCCCAAATGTAAATTGACATCTAGCTATCGGCTGGAGCCCATAGGAATATCGACACCCTTTGATAAGAATGCCCAATGTCATGATGGTACTTGATTTGTTCCAAACTGAGTTTCATCGCACTTAGCCACTCAGAACGCATCTATCTACAAGCGTCGCATAAAGATTAATAACAATTGTTGTAAGACATCATGAGAAATCAATTAAATTCATTTCTAGAATAATAAAAAAAATACTATAATCAAACGCTTCCACGAAATCTTATATTTATTTTCTTTAACGGATATTTGGAGTCGTGTCACTGAAAGATTAATAAAAAATCAACCTCTATGCAAAACGTTCCCCACGAATGCTCTTGTTTGTTGAACAAACATGTTCCTGTTGAACAGGAACATTTCAGGTCCAATGTCAATGATAATTGGCAAGTTGAAAGAGAGCCACGAGTATGCATTCAATTGTAATGCATGGTCTCCGCTTTCATCAACACTGTGAGAGCGAACAAAAGCATTCGTTAATTAAGCGATCTAACTCTCCTTCGTTGTATTCAGTTTTTGTTTATGGGAAAGCGCCACATCACAATTCAAGATAAATTGATACGTAGATTGTGTAAATCAACATTAATACAACCACGTTATGTAAATGTACCACTGACAACCTTTATGCACGATAGCTTCTCATGTGTGTACAAATGTGTGTGTGTGTGTTCTTTTATTAAATATATTCACAAGTTTTTCACACCTTCATGTGATCGCATCTCAGTTTTGTGTTAATTTCTCACAACCGTTATGTACATCCGGGTTTTCTTGTGGCTCTTGATTGCCATCCATTGGAAATTCAAAGCAGTCTTCCCCAAAGTAAGAAATCAAAAACGTCTTCCAATCATTCTGTACTGGAAACGAAAACCCTTCGAAATTCATTCTCTTTAATGGATAAATCGAGCTGCTTACATTAGTTAATACAAAGATATCTATCATGAGTCCATCGTGCCATTCGCAATCATAAACCATACAGTATTTATAACAACTGTTTCTGTCACGGAGTCTTGGGTTCCACGTTCGTTCGTAAAAACCTACTATCTCATGCTTGTCGAAATCAGTCGGATCTTCTGGATTCAGTGGAGGGTCACTTATTGAGTTCTGAAAGAAAATATCACCTGGTAGCTCCTTCGATACATTTTGGAAAAATTTAATGTAGTCCTCCATGGGAATTTCGATATCAATATCATGATCCCAGGGTATGAACCCATGATGTCTGGCAGCACCGAGTAAAGTGCCATACGCTATCCAGTACTTGATTCCGTGCTTCTGCGCGAGGAGATCGAAGATGCGTAGCATTCGTGTTATGACGAGCTGTGACTGGCGATTAAGAAATTTTGAGCAGTTACGAATGTCAGGGCATTGAAGTGTGCCGTCGATAAAGTCGCATCTTCCTCCAAGTTCTGTGTATAACTTGGGACACATTTCACCCCATTCAAACGAAACTTCGCAGTGTCTTCCAGTGCGATTGATATGATAAGGAGGTTCCAAGATTAAATTTTCGTTCTTCTTGGCTGGAAAGACTGCCGTAGAATCAATTTCGCAGTGTTTTCTAGCACGACTGATATAAATAGGAAGCTCCACGCTCAAAGTTTCGTTCTCCATGGCCGTAGAATCAATTTGGAAGAGAACAGTTACTAGTATATATGCAGCTATCGCTAGACCGAACAGAAAGACTATCCTGCGTTTCCTCGCTCGGAACATTTTACGAAAGGCAACTTGAAAGACACCTCATCTAAGGACTGATTGATATTCTAGTTAAGATTAAATTTCTCGCTTGAATGGCATTCTGTCACCAAAGCTTCAAGACTTTAACTAACGAAGAAATCATTAACATGACAGTAAGTGACAGCATGTGTTTTCTGTGATGTGGAAAAATACATTGCAACCTTCCTAATCGAAGGAAAGCTTTAAATAACATCTTACGAAAAAGGTAAACAGACACCAGAGCCGGAGGTAATAATAAACTGAAAGGAAGATTAAAGAACAACACGAGATTCAGGTGGAGAGAATTAAAACTAATTAAGGTTTAATCTCGGTAGACACATTATCGTTGATTCTCTGGGAGAAAATTTAAATTTCTATTTGTCCAAAGAAAAATGAAAAATGAACGTCTTTGTAAACATGAGAAGCAGATAACAAAAAGGTTTTGAATTTTAATTTCCACCTGCGCTGCTGAACAAAATCATTTCCAATATATTTTACAACTGGTTTGGGTTTTCGGTTTTACTCGTCCTATTTGCACTTCACGTTTGTGACAGCTATCATCTGATCAAGCGAGTGGCCGCTTTAAGATCTCTATTTATCCAAAATAGAAATCCAAAATGAACTTGTTTGTATATATTATGAGAACTGGATACAAAAGTTTGAATCATAATTTTCACCTGCTGAACAAAGTCATTGTCAATATATCAGACAATTGCATTCGGTTTTTCTCGCCGTAGTTGCCCTTGATTGGGCATGCACTGACCACTGGATCTCGTTATCGAGACTTGGCTATAGAAAGAACGAAACTTGCGTTCATTTCATATTTACACAGGTGGTACAACAGACATACGCATCTATCAGCGTTTCCGTGAACAACTTAAAAACAGAACCTTGAACATAATGCGATTACGTATTAGCAGATAATTGGTTCTTGTAACAAGTGAAAGTTCTCCGAGGTCGACTCCCANCTGCGATCGTCTGCGATCAACTGCGATCGTGCGATCATATGGAAACCAAAGTTCTGCGATCTGCGATCGAAACGTATCCCATAATATTTTGAATTGCGACTCATGATTCAACGCTTCTTTGCAAGAAAGCAACCGCTTCTTTGTTGTAAACATGCCTGGCGTTGAACAAGGTAACGTTAGTAGCGGTAAATTTATGGAGGAAGTTGGCGATATCAGTGCGTTTACCACCGTAACAGTAAAGATTTCAAAGACAAAAACAAAAAGGCTAACTGCTGGGAAAAAAAATCGAGGAGAAATTTAATTTATCGGCGGCTGAGGCGGAGGTCAAATTCCGCAACATAAGAACTGCGTATGGTCGTTATCTGAAGTGAATGAAAACTCTACCTTCTGGATCGGGGCGAGATGGAGTGCCAAGGGAATTTCAAAATAGGTTGACTAAAAGAAGAAATAAATTTCCTTGCAGCAAAATTTCCTCCTCGACGTCCGCCATATTGTTTGCTGCGATTTTGCCGCCAGCACAACGCGCGTGTAATTTTGACAGTTCCGCTGTCCGAAATGTACGCAACAGTCGGCTCTGCGGTCGCTTGCGATCGTCTGCGATTATATGGAAACAATTCTCGTTGCGATCGTCTGCGATCTGCGATTCGCGATCCGCGATTGTCTGCGATCGTCTGCGGTCATATGGAAACTAGCCTTAACATCCCATAGTGATGATTCTCTTTTTTCTCGTCACCTGTCTGCGTAACGATGTGTTGATACTGTAACGAGAAATTAAATTTTGATCGCTCTTACCTCTGATTCGAAGCTCGGTTGGTGCCTCTTCCACAAACTCACTCGTGAATCGTATGATAATAACAGTCCTACAGGAACAAGATACGTTATGCTTTCCTTTTGCGATGTAAAATATTATCTTTGATGCCCCGTCCACACTATGCCAGAGAAACTTGAAAACACAAACAATCACCCGTCATTTTGGATTTGTGTTTGAGGAAAACTCGGGCAGGGAAATCACGTGATTATCGTGACGTCATCGTTTTTTTGGAAAGCTCCGTTTCTAAAATGTTTTCCGTCCACACTGAAACGCAAAGGCGGCATTTTTGAAGAACGTTTTCGAAAAGCTCCGTTTTCGTGACGGATTAGTGTGGACGGGGCCTAAATAACAAAAAATGACATGTTCTGAAAATGAGAGTGTACTACTAACTAACTGGAGAAAAAAAATTAGTAAATGAATATAGTAAACCAAACTGTAACAAGGATAGTTTAGAATGGGGAAGATTGAAAAAGATTGTGAACGATGACCATAAGAAATTTATGCGGTTTTCGTCCTCCGCAGTTACCCTTAATTCAGATCACCAGGAAAAAGAGTGGTGCTTCTGAGGGTCAACAGGAGAGTTTCCTTACCAATGACTTTCTACATTACACTATATTTAGCGCACATAAACCGACGTAGTATTGGAGTTCGTACCCCACCTGGGCACGTTACGGGTGCAAGATTGCTGCAACCTAAGAGCCAACTCTTCAACTATGGCTCAACTACCGGCTATCGCCCAGGCCTCTGTTTTCGTTAACGATTTCATTAACGCTGTTACACGAAAGGTTTTATTGTTTGTCCTCACTGAAATTTGAACTTACCTTTGCTGGAAGAAACTGCTTTCAAAAACTCCTGCGAGACACCTTCCCTTATGACGAAACCTTCATGGGAGCTGCAAGATATGAAAAATTAAGTGACGTTTTTCAAGTGACCCCCCATATATATTGGTTTACAATGGCGAGCTGACGGCGACCAATTATAATAGTCGGACGCCACGCAGCAACATAAAAAATCGAAATAATTCAAAGAAATCGCCGAGTCCGCATATTTTTACCACCCGATCGTCAATGCTTTTCACTAACTCTTACGACCTTTCCACGAAGATCTATTGATTTTCCGAAAATCTTAGACAATCAAACAAGGTCTGGTCCATAGCGTTTGTCAGCACTTGGCTTAATACGCTTCCAGATCCACTTTCTCAAGACATGAAAGTATTGTAAAAATCAGCCTAGACAAGCATTTATCGAGTTTGGGTAAAAATACCAGCCATTTCGTACCTTGACATCAAATCCAAACTTTTTTGACAGCAAAGAATCTTCTCCACCTGTACTGGCATACAGAAAATTAAACGATGAAATGTTAGCTTGTATTTTTCACAGTGTAAAATCACATGAATGGACAAAACCGCACCTTCCGAACTAAAAAAACCTTTCAATTATAGTTCACTAAGGAAGAGTCATGTACTAAAATAGCAAACTTACCAAAGGTTTGGCTTGTGCTACAGATAGAAGGGGTAAGCAGAATTCAGACAGTTCCTTGAGGCATAATCCTGATATTAGTTTTTGAGGATAACATTCTCTACAGCGAACAAAGAAAGATAATGTACATGTAAAATATACTAGCCTGCGTAGCAAGCGATCCCATACAAAGAGCTTTCCGCATTCTTTCCACGCGTAAATTGGAGCGGGAGCAAAAACTCGACGAAGCTCACCCCACTACCCCCTGCTTCGTCGAATTTTTGCTCCCGCTCCAAATTATCCGCGGTCAGAATGCGGAAAAGCTCTTTGTATGGCAACCCCTGCTACACAGGCTAAAAATATACCAAAAGTTGCAGTTGGTAGTTCAAAAGGCATTTATGGGAGAACTTCTACCTATAGAGATGGGAACTGAGGGACAAGGTAATAACTAACTACATAGAAAGAGCTTCAACTTTGTAATTCATTAATACTAGCTTGTTTCCAAGTGAGTGCAGTGTATTAAATTATGACAAGTCAATGATATCATACCTCTCCTCCAAATTCCACGTAAAGCTCCTCATTACTTCCAGATCGTGACATATGGATGACACCAGCTTATTTAAAAGAATAGAATGTAGAGGTGGCAGATAAATGGACTATTTGCTGGGTCACTGAACAACTGCCTGACTGACTGACTGACTGACTGACTGACTGACTGACTGTGACTGACTGTGACTGAGTGACTGACTGACAGATGGACTGACTGACAAACTGACTAACTGACTGACTGACTGACCGTGACTGACTGTGACTGACTGACGGACTGACGGACGGACTGGCTAACTGGTCGACTGGCCGACCGACCGACCGACCGACCGACCGACTGACTGATTGACTGTGACTGAGTGACTTAGTGACTGACTGACTGACTGACTGACTGACTGTCTAATGAATTGAATGAATGAATGAGCAAACAAAAATTAATGGCCAATTGAACAGGACAAATGAATGGCTATTACAATTAGCTGACTTACTGAATAAATATACTGATGGACAGACTACAATCTGTATTTCTAGCGAAATTGAATATATGACATATTAAATAACTTGACTTTACCTTATCCAGCATCATTTCCATAGACTCCTGAGCAGTGTAGCCCCAGAATTCCCCAATATGGTGTAAATTACTGTTTTTGAGCACAGGTGTGGTTGCTCGTCTCAGCTGGGTCTGGGCCCAACCTTTTGCCTTCCTGTTCAGATTCCTTCCTTGAACTCCAGAAGAATTTGCAAGCATTAAACTGCATCTCACAATACTCTGAAAAACTTCATCTGTGTATCAAGCACAATCAAAAAAGTAATGTATGGCTTGGGTTGCATGTTCTTGCAAATGAGAGACATTCATGGTCATCTACACAGCCAGGTCGGCATTATTCTGTACTATACATGGGTTATTGACCAAGTGCAAGGTCAAAATGGCTGGACATTGGCCAAGTTCTTTTTTTGGTTTTTTATGGACCCAGATGGAGTTGAGGTCCTTAAACGCTCAAAAAATGAACAAGGCCAATATCCAGCCATCTTGACCAAACAAGTTTGGTCAATAAAGCATTTGTTGTATGGAAAAAGGACACTATTTTCTTGCTGGACACAGTGGGTAATCCACTCATGGATTAATAAGCCATATAATAAGCCCATTAAATAAGCCTAAATACTGAAGCTTTTCCATGGTTATCCTGACTTTTTGTTTTAACTTTCAAGAGAAAAATTATTTTAATCTTTAGTTTGACTTATTGGCAGTTTCTAGAAGTTGAGGGTTCACAAAATTGAGGTTCCATTGTACATCACTACCAGTAGATTCTGTTACCTTTTTATCGACTACTTAGTTTAATTTAACCTGTGTATGGTATAAACCTCATTTTGTAACCATGATGACATACTCAATCTGTGCCAAGAATGTACTCTACGTGTTAAAACTGACATGAGATGTTTTGCTGCATGTATACATGTGACTTTTCCTCTGTGTACTTCCTAACCTGATAATTTAATAACTGTGTTCTCATACAATTGACCAAGAAGCTTTCCAAGGCTTGGAAATTTCTGTAAAATTACTTGTGCATCACCAATCTGCAAAGAAGCAACATAATAACATCCTATATCATTTTTTTTTTTTTGATGCATATATAGTCAACATAAAAATCCTCCTTGCTACATTTCTGACAGAGAGAGTGTGATGGCCTAACTGTTAGTGCGCTGGACCCCAGATCAAATAGTTGGGGTTTAAGTCCTTGTGAGTCCTGACCAGGGTTGTTGCCTTGTGTTCTTGGGCAAGACACTTTACTGTGATGGTGCCTCTCTCCCCTCAAGTGTATAAATAGGTGCTGCCAAATTTAATTCTGGGGGTTTAACCTGCCAATAATTGGACTAGTATCCCATCCAGGGTGGGGGGGGGGGGGGGGGGGAGGGGGTTCTTATGTAAATGTGGATTATTATCTTTAAGGGTTTAGTCTGCCACTTGACAAGGTTTTAAACTATTGACAACTTTCTGATGGCTTGTNGGGGGGGGGGGGGGGGGGGGGGAATAGAAATCCCCCTTAAGTAACTTAGAGCTAAAGAAACTACGAATCATTCGTATGGTCACTTCGCCTGACACTGCTGCCGCTATTTTTTAAAGTTGAAGGGTGGGCACAGAGAAAAAAGTGAGTTTGGATTACAACATCTTTTTTAGCCTGTAATGGTTTAAGTTTCTTTAAAAGTTTCTGATTCCCTGATTTCAACACCTTTCAACACCAACTATCCCTCTTCCCCACCCCCTCCCCCACTCCTCCCTGCCCCCTCGTTCTATTCCCCAAGTGGCAGTGGAGAAACTGACCTTTTTCATAAGAAAGAAAGAAAAACATCCATACGGAAGAGAAACGCTAAATGTATAAATCGATCTTTAAAAAAGCAAAATCTGTAAGTAGTGCAAGGAAAAGTTCTCCCTACCTCTTCGCTAAGATCTTTCTCAAGTCTTTTTAGGAAACTTGACAAATCATGAACGCATTCGAAGGTTTCCCTGCACACCTCTGCAGAAGTAGCTCTTCCCCATTTTTTCGCAATGTCATACCATCTCTTCACGTCCTCCTCCGTCAACGACATGATCAAGTCCGTAAAGGGATCGTAAAAACGCACTGTTCGGCCGCCATTTTGGTAATTTTGACTGATGGGAGGAAACTGGGAAGAAGACGCCTCCGCTTACAGACTTTTGGTGGCCAGCAGTTGCACAAACGAGGGTTCAATATGGCGGCGGTCAGGTAGCTATTTTTTTCTCAAGGAATTTCGGTATGTTTTCTCGCTGGAGAAACTGTGTGCTAACGATTATCGTAAGCACTTTTTGTACATGGATGATTTCAAAAGGGAATGGAGAGAAAATCGTCTGTGATGACCTTCAGTTAGGCCAATATCCTTTTGAAATTTTCGAAATTTCAGTATTTGAAGCTTACTTTCATGCATAAACGTTATCGTCATAGTGAGAGTTTGTAAGTAGTTGTGTGTTCCTTGACATTATTTAAATATCTTTGTCCTGAGCCAGACATTGATTCAGCTACTCAGGCAGCTGTTGGTTGCACAAAGAACCACACAGTTCAAGGTACAGTTGTACCACTTCATACAAGACCGGGCTGTACTGCAGGACACAGGGCTACTTTTAACCATCCATCAAACAAGCCAGCTCGCTTCACTCGTTTGCTCCTTGGGTAACAGAAAAGACCGGCTGTTTTTTTGTGCTTCCATATCTACATGTATCAAATTGACTTTGACAACTTAGTGATGTTTACACAAAGGAGTTACTGTTTATTTAGCTGTTTATTGAACAGCTACCAAATTATTAGCACTTGTTTGAGTCACTATGTTAAATTGTGATCAGTAAACAAGGGGAAAAAAGGAAAAAAGTCGGTTTTCAAGAGCTGCATTGTGCTGTGTTTGTGATACCCTGTGAGCAAAGTATCCTTCAAAATGACTCTGCTTGCAGGCTGTCAATGGGAACATTCTAATTGACCAGATTGTTTTATCACATTGGATTGTAGTGTTAATTTACTTTCCTTATTTATAGTTAAATGTGATGCTGCAGCTGTTGATAAGCATGGAAGGAATATCACTGAATGTTATCAAAATGTATCTTGCCGCTACACGTAAGTTTGTTATATTGCAACAACTTTTTATGTTGAACTTCACAAAATATTGTAAATTATATGCACAAGAGGAGACTGATTTTAGGTACTGAAGTAGACCATCTATGCATAATGTATCTCTCCCTGGATAAATAAATAATAAATAAAAATAACTTTTATTTACCCTTGGCAGGGTTTACAGGACAAGGGGTAGTGGGGCTGAACAAACAACTGAAACAAATAATTCAAACTGAACTGGATGGCTTACCACTCTAGTTTAATTAATTGTGTTGAGCATTTTTGCCACTGGTTGCCCCAAAATTTACAAACTATATAATATCTGTACTTAGTTGAACCTACAGGAAAGAAATGTTGAGAATCAGAAAAAAGTGCCATTCCCAATAACATACTGTTATTGGTGCACAAATCAAACTTGAACCCTTGGCCTCAACATCTGTTGCTACATGTTGGTCTAGAAAATATACCAGCTAGATGGTACCACAACACTTTTCTGTTATAATTTTGTTCCAAAAAAACAGGGTTAAAAGTATATATAATGCTGTGTTTACATTTGAGCTTTTACCAAGGTAAACAGTTACTAAGGTCAGGTTACTTAACCTTGGTACATTCGTCCGGTGTTTATACCAGCTCAAATAACTCAAGTTGATCTTTCAACATTCGCGCGCGCTGCGTTATCGACGTCATGAAATCGAACTTGGACGAGGATCCCACCACAGCAGAACAGGGGCAGATTGAGGTGCCATCATTTTAATGGGCAAGGACCTCATTCCATTATATTGTGGCGAAAATTCAGCTGCTTCATCATACCCAGAGTATGCATAGTTATATGCGTAGAAACGTGGATACATATCCAACGTATGCAGCATCCTCCCTGGTGGCAAAATATATTGACAATAATTACACAAAAAAGGATCGAAGTTTGTCTAGAGAAAGTTGTAAATAATACTGAGAATGAAAAATACAATGCTTTCTTTCACATGACGGATTGTTCGCCGTAAGAAGAAGGATCCAATCTTTCCACGTTATCTGCCATGACAGCCTAGTCAAAACTGGAAAACAAATGCTTTGCTTTGTCGACAATCGCACAATCTGCTCACCGCGGGAAGTGAAATATTACGCCGCCACAAGCGGATATATTTGTCATCTTGACCTTGGTTACCAACTGTAACCATGCTTGATCACAGGGTAATTACAACTTTTACCTCAGTTAAATTTCTTTTGTCTTTTGCGGCATTTACCAA